CCAGAAGAGACAGCAAATATGCAGAAAGTGTCTAGAAAGCGGAGTACCCAAGACAGAAGAGTCTGACAAGATTCATGGATGGGTACTTCCAGCTACCCGGTTGTTTGATAGATACCTTCCCATCTTAAGCAACCCAGACATGTTCTAAAAGTCCAGGAGTTGCTACATAATTTAGAAACACTTCTCATCCAATGTATCTTGAATATAGCAAGTGTTTAAGTCGCACTATTACATTAGAGAATTTTGCTCTAGAATTAACTAAAACAATCCTCATTTATCACGCACACATTAACAGAAAATATTCCATTTAAATCAACTGTTGAAGCACAAACTTAGCTCCTTGATAGATCTGTTTGACAACCTATGCAAATAATATTTATCTTTCCATATTCCACACAACCTTCTGCAAAACATGGGAGTTTACATTTGGTATATCAACTAGTGAAGAAAACAGTCGAGTCTTTACCTCCATTGTAGGATTACATAACACATGTAGAGTATAAATTTTTAATGTCAAGGGAAAGAGGACTACAAGGTTTTCTTATAGTCTGGTTTTCTTCATAACATGTACATTTACTGTTCTTGATTTAAAAACTTATTTGAATGCATTACATAACATTCCTGAGAATTTCTGTGAGATACAATAGAATAGGATTTTCAATTGATCAGCTTTCATTTTAGACCTGTCAGTCTCAGGTTACACTTATTCCATTGGATTTTAGTGGTATATTCCTAGATCTAACCTAATAGTATGGTGCTACATGAAGTTTCACAGTTTACACACTAAACCTTGTATATTTTAAGGAATGCAAGCATGACCCATTAACCTACTTGCAACAGTGATTAGAAAGAGGTACAGATACAAAAATAATATTGTTGAGCACTTTTAATACAGCTAATTAGCCAAGATGCTAAATCTTTCAAGTCAAAACGTCTATTCCTTAATTTACACAGATGAATGACTTCAGTGGAAGCAACAACCCTGGCAAGCTTAAAAGGCAACCCTGCATCCAGTCTATTTCAAGTAACACCACAGCACTGCAACATTCTTCCTCAATGAACATCCCTTCTGCAGTTTTGTAGTGCTGAAGCACAAAAGAGCATAATATGCACGACTGGCATCCTCTACTTTGACAGTTTGGCTGAAATGTTCTAGTCTTCAAGATTACCTAAGAAATTAAGATGAAAAGTAAAAATTGTAGACTGTTAAAATAAGTACATGAGTACATTTGTAATGATACAAGCTTAAAATCATATTGCTCACGCAATGATTGGGACAATAAAAGCATTAGCAATAAGCAAACTGAGTGACTCTGGAAATACAAATTAATCCATCTCCCATCAACACTTTCATTAACCTCTCTAACACACTTGGCAAAGCCTAAATTCTGTATGTGATTGTGCAAGTACAAAAATACCAAATAAGGGACAAAACTCAAAAAAGGCCTCACTTTTAACTCATTTGTACTGGAACTGCTAGATACTGCCTAACACAATTCCAAGACATAATGGAGATATTAATGCTCTAACGCCCGCCCCAAAAATATCAACGTATTCATTCTAATAGAATTTTGTATGCCTGCTGTAGGAATTTTGGCTATGAATCCTTTTATCTGCAAGTCTCATCACTGTTTAGGAAAGGAAGTCCTTATAGGATGACAAACCATATTTGATCCCCACATATTAAATACAAACTAGGTGACATTCACCAAGAAGGAGCCCTGGGAAATTCAAAACAGGATCTCTGTACAATTCACTCCTACTCCCTCTATCCTTCATGACTCTGCTTCCAGCTGCAGGGCAACAGATAGTTTCCGCACAACATATATTTTTGATCTTACTACATACTGTATTTGAACAGTTCATATCCATTCTCATGAAGGAACCTAAGCCCAGTGCATCACACTCTGATCATACATTGTTTAAGTCGTCCCCCTCCACCCCTTAACATAAACTTCTTACCAGCATGAAACAATTTAGCTGCAGGCAAATACTGCTAAAATAGTGCTTTCCAGTATTAGTCCCATCACCGCATTCAAGATTAATTTTCATGACAGTCGCAACAGCCATGGCAGAAGCGTAAAAACACCCTCGAAATAGTCACAATGGTTAGTCCATAAATTCCTTCCATCGTAGCTATCTCTGCTTTCTTAAGTCAGACACTGAGATCCAGCTTCACTCCACTGCACTGTTTAGCAAGATCTGAATGTGAAACAGGTAATAATCAGGATCATAGCGAGCTCTCTTATTTCAGTTAACGTGACTTGGTCTGGAGAGTCCCTTCTCAGTCCCTGTGTCAGCAGCCCCAGACCTGCACATTCCCAGCACTGAAATCCACCTCTGCAGTGAAAAGTCACCGCTAAATCTGGGCAACTTAAGCCTCTTTTCTTCATAGAAGCCACACACACACCCCCATCTCTTCCATGCACGATCAGAGCTTCTAACAGCATCCTGTTTTTTTCCCCCCACTGTTCACTCAAACATGTTGTGGGTTTGTTTTTGCCAGTGCAGATTTGCACAGTGCTTAATACATAATTACTTATTTTGCATGGCTGCATGATGAGAGACCCCCAACTTGCCAAAGGAGCATCTGCACCAAGCTGCTTTTGCTGATGTGATCAGCATTTGAGGATAAGGGCTGGCAGGAGGAGGCAGAAAGGTTTGTGAACTGATTCTTCTTCCTAACACATCCCCACCCACGCACCCTAGACGTGGCTGCAAAAATATCCACAATCATTGAGAGGGCATTTGTCTTAAATAAGTGCAAATGACATTGAAAAGACGACAGAACAGAAACGTGTTTTCTGTTGCACTGCATGATTTCACCAGCTTATTTCCTAGGTAGCGATTCCAGAGAACCTTCCCACACAATTCCTCCCTGCCCCCTCCTCAAAAAAAAAAATCTTTGTTGTGCTATCTCCATTTTACCTCAAGATTCTTGCGCTAAGAAGAAACATCAAGCCCCCTCTTCCCCTCTCAAACGTGCTGCCTCCATCTTCACTTCAGCCACTTTTTCAGAAATTCGATTTAGCAGCAAAGTTAACCCCTCAGTTACCCATACATCATTAGCCACAAAATACTTTCCCTCTATCTCACCAGCCCTTGCTGCCTCCTACCCCCCACCCACCCCAACAAAAATACAATCCTCTAAAGCCCATTTGATGTCTTATCTCCAGGATTTATCCTGGAGATTTCAGTGCAGGGATAAACTTAACCCCATCAGCAACAAGCCATTTGATTCCCCTGTGCCCCATCATATAAAATGTCTCATTGTTGGTTTATCCCACATATCTAGCCTCTTCTCCTGGAAAATATTTGAAAAGGGGCCAAATTAACCCATTTGTTTGCCCTATCAGCCACCCCTATTCCTCCAAATTTTCTTCCCAAATATGGTCTGTTATATGGATGCCTGTTACTTCCACACTCAACTTGGGGATTTCATCCTATCCCCTCTCATCCATGCCTCTCACCTTCCAGCCTCACTTCTGAAGTCTCCCCTTTCCACGCACAGAGTTGCCCTAGAGGACACGTAGCAAAATAGCTCTGTACAATTATCCTTAGATCACCTCTTTCCCCAAAATCCCTAGAATGAGCCTGTAAAAATTAACCCCACAGAGATGGGAACTCCTTCATGCTCCCTCCCAAATCTTTGTTGGGGGTATGCTGACCTCCAAAGTCATTCCTGAGATTTCACACCCAAAACAGTTCCCTCCACTCCAACCCTAGGAATTTTTCTTTCCCTATTCCCCCCCCTTCCCCTGCTATCCAAATCCTTCCCTTGAATAATCTTTCCTACCTTCCCACAGAAGTCCCCTCCCCCCCATGACTTCTCTCTAAGGAACAAACCCCATCTCTGACCTCTAGTTCCTTACACCGAGGACACTCCCCAACTCCCCTACACCTGCTGAAGGGGTGTTTCTCTCCTACTACCAAAGATTTATCCAGGACATCTCACTACATTTTCCCCTCTTCCAAATGACCTGCTTCCCCCTCTTTGCTGAGTGTGACTAACCCTGGGGAAGGGGATAGATCTTCCCCTCTTTCCCTTACTTGCAGACCCATATCCTAGGGCTCACCCTGAATGCAGGTAAGGATGTGAACCCACTTCTCCCCGCAATCTCAGATCCATACCCAGAAATTCTCCCAGGGGTAGAAATGAGCTAATCCCTATTTATGCCACATTAATCTATTCAAACTATGTCCACATGTGGTGGGGACCACTTCTCCCCATACCCTGAGCTAACCCTGGTGGAGATTGACCAGTTTCACCTCCTAACCCCAGCTGTATGCCATGGAACAGTCCCCTCTGGCTCAGAAACAATTCTTCCTCCCGTTTACCTGCGGACCCATACAACAGAGTTCTTTCTCCCTGTGCAGGAATGACCTCCACCCCACATCATCATCATCATCTCCTCCGCCTCCCTGTAGGGAGACCTACACTCTAGAGCTCTCCCTGTGGGTGGGATTCACCCCTACCCCCATAATCCTCCCTTCCCCATCTCTCCCCAAACCCATCCCCTGCTGCTCCCCTTCTGTGCACGTGTAGCAGTGACTCCCCCTCTCCGCAGGCCCTTCCCCCAATGTAAGTGGGGTGTGACCCCCTCCCTCCCCAACCCCTCCCCCCCCCATGTGTGTAGCGGTGACCCCCTCCCTCCCCAACCCCTTCCCCCCCAATGTAAGTGGGGCGTGACCCCCATCCTCAAACCCTTCCCCCCCGTGTGTGCAGCAGTGATTCCCCCGCTCCCCAGCCCCTTCCCCCCAATGTAAGTGGGGGTGACCTCCCCCTTCCCCAGCCCCTTCCCCGCAGTGTGTAGCGGTGACCCCCCCTCCCCAGCCCCTTCCCGCCCCCCCAGTGTGTAGCGGTGACCCCCCAGCCCCTTCCCGCCCCCCCAGTGTGTAGCGGTGACCCCCCCAGCCCCTTCCCCGCAGTGTAAGTGGGGTCCCTGACCCCCCCCCTTCCCCGCAGTGTGGGGGCGCCTCCCTGCCGGCCCCCGCCTTACCTCCAGACCTGTCCCATCTGCAGCAGGTGGATGACGGCCTGCCAGACCCAGACCGAGAGCCTGCAGAGGCGCTGGGCCCCCGGCGTGGGGGTGCCGGCGGCCCCCGGCCGGCGCCCGACGGCGCCCATCATGGGCGGCCCGCGGCTGCTGAGGCCCTGCACGGCGCCCAGCCCGCCGCCCGTGTAGTCCTGCACGAACCAGCGGAAGCTGAGGATCTGCACCAGCACGGAGGGCAGCAGCACGAAGGCCAGGGTCAGGCCGCACCACACGTAGTCCCGCCGCCCGTAGTGGTGCAGCGCCAGCCACAGGTCCGTGCCCACGTCCCCCAGCAGCACCAGCAGCGCCAGCACGATCCACAGGCAGTCCAGCCACGGCCGCTCGCCCCCGCCGCCGCCGCCGCCGCCGGGCCCCCCCGGGGAGTGCGGCGGCCCCTCGGAGGAGGAGCCCGGGGCCAGCGGGTCCGTGCCCCCGCCGCCGCCGCCGCCGGCCCGGCCCCCCGCCCGCCCCAGCAGGCTCCGCAGGCAGGCGCTCCGGCAGCCCCAGTAGCACGACGAGGTGTTGCAGCAGTGGCAGATGTGCAGGGAGCTGCTGCCGCCCTGCTCGGCCGCCCCGTCGCCGCCGCCGCCGCCGCCCCCCGCCGCGGCCGCCGCCGCCTCGTCCAGGTTGTGCAGCTGGGCGAAGCCGACCCCCGCGCCCCCGCCGCCGCCGCCGTCCGACTTGGCCGCCATCTTGCTGCTGCCGCCGCCGCCGCCGCCGCCGCTCGGCGCTCGCCCCGCTCCTCCGGCCCCCTCGCCGGGCTCCCCCCACCACCCCCCGGCCGCCGCCGCCGCCGCCGCTGCTTCCGGGGGAGGCGCTTGCCGGGCCCCGCGCAGGATGGAGGGGGGACCCCTAGCGCCCGCCCGGCGAAGCGCGGCTCCCACGCCGCCCCGGAGCTGCTGCAGCAGCCCCGCCCCCACCCACAGCGCCCGGGACCCCCCCAGCCCAGGCCCCCCCGCGCCAAGGGCCCCCGAGCTCCCCCGGGACCCCCAGCCCAGGCCCCCCGCGCCAAGGGCCCCCGAGCTCCCCCGGGACCCCCCCAGCCCAGGCCCCCCCGCGCCAAGGGCCCCCGAGCTCCCCCGGGACCCCCCAGCCCAGGCCCCCCGCGCCAAGGGCCCCGAGCTCCCCGGGACCCCCCAGCCCAGGCCCCCCGCGCCAAGGGCCCCCGAGCTCCCCCGGGACCCCCCCAGCCCAGGCCCCCCCGCGCCAAGGGCCCCCGAGCTCCCCCGGGACCCCCCCAGCCCAGGCCCCCCCGCGCCAAGGGCCCCCGAGCTCCCCCGGGACCCCCCCCAGCCCAGGCCCCCCGCGCCAAGGGCCCCCGAGCTCCCCGGGACCCCCCAGCCCAGGCCCCCCCGCGCCAAGGGCCCCCGAGCTCCCCCGGGACCCCCCACTTCAGCCCTCTTGTACCACGGACCCACTATTCCCCAGGACCCCACACCCAGTCCTCTTGCACCAAGGACCCACTGTTCCCCTGAGATCCACCACCCCTGCTCCCCTAACCCCTGCACTAGGGACCCCCTCGCCCCAGCACCCAGCTCTGCTACCCCCTGCGCCCAGGGCCCAGCCAGGCAACCTTCTGTTCCAGTAATGCCAGCCCTGGGACCTAGCTATCTGCCTCCCACATCCCCCATCCCACCCCCGTCTTCCGCTGCCCCAGCCCTGCCATCCCCTCCCCAGCTCCACCAGCTTCCCCTGCCCAGCATTAGCTGAGCTGCCCCTCTCTGACCCAGTCATGGGACTCGCTCCCTGCTCTGCCTTTCCCTACACTGGGGGACCCTACACCCCCCACGACCAGGTCCCACTGACCCCAGCCCCACACCTCTGATGCCCTGCTACTCTCCACCCCTAGCGATGCCCAGGGACCTTCTGCACTGGCTGACCACACCTCATTACCAAACCAGGGTACTGCAGACCACCAGCTCCCTGAGCCCAGTTCCCCTGCCTCCTAGATACCATCTCCCCTGGTTCCCACTACCCCCAAGTCCCTAGTGTCGCCCAGCACCTCAGCCACCCCTTGTCCCCCCAGATACATACTCCCAGGTGGCTTCCTCCACCCTTTGGCCCCCAGCTACCTCCACCACCCCAGACCCCAATGGTGCCTTCACAAATCAGCCTCAGCTACCTCAGGACACTCCAAAGCCATGCACCTCAGCTCCCAGTGCTTCTCACATCACCTGGTTCTTCTAATCCCCTTGTCATTACCTAAGCATAAAGCCAGCCCTCTGCTCCCCCCTTTAGTTCATCACTTGCTGTTTAACTTGGGTGGGTATGGGGAGCCTTTCCTCCATCTCTTGAGGGCTGCCAGGTAGCCATCCCATTCATTGCCAAGGGGCACTGACCAGCCTAGCTGCAATGGTATGGAGCAGGCGTTCCAACCAGCTCATCCTTCTGTCCAAGGATCCTGAGCAATCCTGGGCCAGCATTTCCACCTCTCAAAAGGAAAAACCACCCTCCTAATAGCAAACAGAAGAGCTAGCTTCCTGCTTGGACTTTATAGGCAGAGCCTGGGGAAGCTCCACCCCCAGAGTGGGCAGGGTTTTCCCATCCTTAGCCCTGACCTTGGCTATGAAAGGCAGGATGCTTCAAAAGACCTGTTTATAATAAAAGATAGAGCCCGGCTCCTTAGTCTTTCCCTGGATTGGGGTTGGGCGCACCTCTCTTTAGACCTATTTTGGTGGGAAATTTAGCCATTGGTTCCATCTCCTCCGTTTACTTGCACTTGCTTTTATTCCATGCTTGATCTTTCATCCCTATATTGGCTCTTTTGTATGCTCAGATGCATTTTTCTCTTCTTGGAAGTTCACTGTCTCCCTGTAGACTCTCCTTCTGTTCCTCTCTTGCTTTTTCTGCACAGGCCTGTATGCTCCCCTTTGGGTATACTCTCCCCTTCCGTTTTCTGCATCTGTTTCCATAGACATGCCCTCCCTTTCTGGTTCTCCATGGCTCTCCATGCTCTCTTTGTGGGCAGGTGCTTCTCTCTTTCCGAAGACCTATGTTTGCATGTTCTGTTCTTTCTCTTCCTGAAATTACATTGATGGCAAATACCAAAAAGGATTTGCCAAAGGGATCAGATAATGTGGTGGTAATGTGTCATTTTGCACACTGCAAAGCTAATCTCAAGGGGGGGAAACTAAGAAAAAGTACATCCAAACAGTTCCAAATGCTGTGTTGCTGTAGCTGTGCTAGTCCCGTGATATTAATGGTGAGGTAGTAACTTTTATTGGACCAGTTTCTGTTGGTGAGAGAGAGAAACTTTCCAGCTACACAGAGCCGAGGAAGAGCTCTCTGCAAGCTTGAAAGCTTTTCTCTTTCACCAGCAGAACACGGTTCAATAAAAGATAATACCTCACCCATCTTGGCTCACAAATGCTAATGGAAGAGAGGGGAGAAATCGCTTGAACTTGAGAACAGTGAGAGAACTGTAGTAAATATTAAACAAAGTATAGTAGGAAAGGGATCTGTGAAACAAATCTGTGGCCCTTTTCAGATGATTCATGGGAAGTTCAAAAGTTCTATGAAGTTCTAAAACATACTGCTGCTCTTGAAATAGTCAGGTGAGCTGGCACTCGAGAACCTGAGGACAGGAAATGAAAAGAAAAGCCTTATATATTGGCTAGGCAGTCACTCGCTCTCTGTATGTGGTCAGGTCAGAGGTCATTAGTACTACACGAGAACCTAACAAAAATTTCTTTAGGTGGCGAGCAATACTATTAAACATTCTTGGAACAAAGAGAACATGATAGAATACTGCAGGACCCCATGCTACAGACTTCAAAGGCCACAAGATTTTTCTTGTTTTCTGCTGACTTAAGCCATGGTGTGAGACTAGGCAGAACTATGAATATGGAAATAAATGACACTGAGACCCTAATCCTCTGTCTTGGCTGACAAAAATTAACTTACACTCAGAGGAGAAATACTAATATTTGGAAAAAGAACAGGAGCACTTGTGGCACCTTAGAGACTAACAAATTTATTTGAGCATAAGCTTTTGTGGGCTACAGCCCCCTTCATGAGATGCATAGAATGGTTCTTTTTGCTGATACAGACTAACACGGCTGCTATTCTGAAACTTATATTTGGGGAAAAAGAAAAGGAGTACTTGTGGCACCTTAGAGACTAACAAATTTATTTGAGCATAAGCTTTCGTGAGCTACAGCCCACTTCATCAGGATCATTCTTCTGCCTTGCAATTGAAAAGCAAACCAAAGAATCAGTAGGCCAATTGTGAAGAGGAAGGATTCTGAGGCCTCTTATTGTGAGAAGCATCTTCATTGTGGATTAAATAAACTGTTTCACAGTCTTAAAGGTGGGTGGAAACACTTCTACTTTATACCATAATGCAGTTGGTTACATTTCATTTTAAAAAGGATGCACAGAAAGTACTCTGCTGTTTATTTATTTATATAGCACTATAGGTGTATGCTGCATGGCATTGACACATAAGGAGGCCAAGACCCTTAACAATCTCACTGACACAAAAGCAATTCAAGATCAGTTAAGATCCAGCACAGACAACGGATGAACAGAGAACCAGAGTGGACAACAATTAAGGGGGGGGGGGCCAACAGTGGAAGGCTAACCGAGAGAAGAGGTTTTTAAGGAGAGATTTGCAGGAGGAATAGGAAGTTGCTTTGCATGAGGAAGAAAAGATCTTCCAAGTCAACAGAGGAGTGCGGGGGACAGAGGTGTCATGAAGTCAAGTGTTGGATAAGGAGAACAAAAGGAGCACTAAAGAAGGGGGAAAAAATATCACTTACTGTACAATAGTGACCTTGTTTAGGAAAGAATTTCATTAGACATAGCCTTTTTTCCCCCTAAGCGTGATGGACTATAGAACAGGGACATTCTTGTCAGCTGACAGCATCCAGAGACTTTTTTCCTTATAAGTGATCCTCTTGATGCATAAAGAGAAACTTGATTTAAAAATTGTCTTTCTTTCTGAAACTGTTTAACCTATTATTGCTACCTAAAATTACTCTACCTGAAAGAGATTAGAGAAAATAATTAATCTCTCTATTTTTGTCCCGTTTATTTACTTAGTGTATTTTGAAAGCTCTCTGTGGGTAGTCTGTTTCCCTGTGTATAGTCAGTTTTCCCCTCATCTCCAAAGGGGGTTTCAAAAGCAACAAAGAAATCACACAGAAAAATGATAAAAGACAAAAACAGCATATCACCAATGGGTGAACGCTTTTCATAAAACCTTCACTCCAATTCTGACATCATCCTCAAAGGAAACCTGCTTCAAGACAAGCCTGGGAGCTTAAACTCACAACTTTGCTAGACACTAAAAATCATGCTCTTAATAAAGACACTGGATTGATAGCTTATTACAACAATCTGTAACCCACAACCCCCCCCCTTTTTTTTTTTTTTTTTGTTCTATGACTGCAGGATTGTTAACAGGCTACTTCACTTTGCATAGCCTCTTACAACCTGTCTTAACTAGTTATGCTAAACAGCCTATGTATTTTAGCTGTGACACTCTCTGTACCTTTCCCACACCTGAAGAAGGAGCTCTGTGTAGCTTGAAAGCTTGTCTCTCTCACCAACAGAACTTGGTCTAGTAAAAGGTATTACCTCACCCACCTTGTCTCTCTAATATCCTGGGATCAACACAGCTCCTGCAAACAAGGGAGAGAAAAACATTTAATAAAAGAGGAAGCTGTGATTACAAAACCACAGACACTGGAAGGGGGAACCTGGGGAAGATGTAGTGGTCAC